TGGACGAAATCAAATGCAAATCACAAAATATTAGAGAAACTTAGTTGTTTTAGATTCGTTAGTAGTAGTTGTGGTAGGAGTGTGGATCTATCTAATCCATCTATATAATCAACACAGTAAGCTTGCCAGCTAATATGCTAACCTAGCTTTCTTGTTTACCTTGGTTGCAAACATGATATGAACGTTAGCTCGGAGGAACGGCAACTGTAATGGAGTGTAATAAAACTACTATGAACAAAAGCTAGTGGTTCATATTAGGCTAGCAATAACGTGTTTATAATTGCAATCTTATACGGGTAGTCTGCTACGTTCGGTCATTCATTGTAACTGGCATGAATACAATGTTTCCCGCTAGCATGTATAGCTAGCCTCGTTAGCTATACATGCTATCAGCGTCGGAGGAAAGCCAACTGTAATGTACCGTCCTTTGGGGGTCTGTGAGCGGGCAAAGAGAGGGGATTTCCCCGTTGTCTCTGCTGGAAGTGTGAAATAAACAGAGTCCCCATTTCAGGGACACGTCTTGGAGGTCTCTAGGCCGTCCTTTGGGAGTCTGTGAGCGGGCAAAGAGAGGGGATTTCCCCGTTGTCTCTGCTGGAAGTGTGAAATAAATGTAGTTGTTTGATGTTCGTCAGCTTGCCAGCTGGATTACAATGCTAATCTACGTTTGCTAGTTGTTCAGTTGTTCAATATGCTATACTATACTATGAACAACAGATAGTGGTTCATATTAGGCTATCAAGCACATGTTTACAATTGCAATCTTATATGGGTAGTCTGCTACATTCATTGTAGCTGGCATAAAAACAATGTTTTTCCGAGCAAACTCATGTCTAGCTCTTAGTAGCCTTGTTGTTTAGCTCGGTAGCATACACGCTCGGAACGCCAGCTATAATGTAATTACGTTTCGCGACTGACCGTACGGTAAATCACCTGGAGTATACTGTCTATGAGTATTTCGTGTGTGAATGCAGACATTCTCCTGCTATGAGATACATGTATGTAAGGCCATCTGCTGATATTAGAGTTGATATGGAAACGCTAGCAACTTAGTAAGCACAGTTAGCACTGGTTTAGCAGTCCGAAACATGTTTACACATTTAAACAGTCGTGGTAGATACCTTGTTTGATAAATACACAAATAACAATGCAAACTTACAGGTTGTGTACCCGAATCTTCCCCTGCTCCAAACGGTCCAAACAAACTAGGAATAGCATCGTCCTTCAGTTTCAAATGCTGTGCATATCCGGCCTCAAACTGGGCAATGTTTTGGAAGCTTTCGTCTGTGAAATGCCGCGCACACAGTAACGTTCTTCGAACCTCTGAAGGAACAGTGTTAAAAAGAAATTTCAACCACTGACTTCATCGTGGTTCTTCCGTCGGTAGGACACACAGCTCAGATTTCTCCTCACATTTCAGGAAACAGGTCCTTGGCATTGGCATGACTGGATCGATTGTGAACTGAACCAGAGCTTCCAACAGTAAATGTTAGGCTGGCAGAGGGTGCGGCCAGCGCCGCTGGGTGTGGCCATAGCTCTTCGGGATTGGTCCATTTCGTTCCGGGTACCGCATGACATCATGCGGTACCCGGAACTAAATGGAAGACTCAAATGGGCAGTGACGTATCTCCAACGAGGCGTTTTGGGGAGGTATTTTCTGTGTTAGAGTTTTACTCGCTACAGGGTGTACTTTGAGGGTTTTGACTCTGCACACCGTTTACATGCATAAAAACCTTCATAACACACAAGGGGACAGGTAATAACCGGAAAAGCATGACATGGGCCCTTTAATGAAAATTCAGATTGAACATAGTAAAAAACTGTAAATTATAGTGTCCGTCCAAAAATTCTTTTTTATTTATAGTGAAAACTACCCTTGGATGATGGTAAGGTAGACTAAAAGCTTTAGGAATCCAAAGTGCAACATATAATAAGTACCCTGTATCAAGATTGATGCAAAACAAGTGACATTTGACCTTTTTAGAGTGGTTTAGCAAAAGAAACTCCACCTCTGAGGTGATTTGGGTGGAAATGGGGGTTTTACCGTTTCTCTGGAACCCATTGGTCGATTTTGGTGATTGACATCTCTTTCTGACCGTTAGAGCTAATAGAATCGAAGGGGAATCTCCCCACTCACTAACATTGTACAACAAAAAGGTGGGGGCTTCGCGCATTCAGAATTGCATCAGGGCGAACCTATACTGTAGCTCTGACATCTAGAAACGGAAAAGCAGTTTTATTGCTCATGGATTATCAGAAATCATTTCAAAGGGACACAGACACATTGGATTAACCTATGGATTAACCTCAGCAGCGTTTTTATCGTTTTAATGCCATTGAAGACCACTTTGGACCAGACTACGACACAAGGTAAACCATGTTAGCATTTTTAGCTACCTAGTGCCACATGTTTTGATGTCTGTTTTTGTTTATAAAGTCGCGATTTCGTATAATTGAGTGATAATGAGGGTACCCTTCAATTATGTGTCACCTCACAATGTGAAACGATGTCATGGATGTGCAGAAAAGATCAATAATAAGGTTTTGTGAGTGAATTTCGGTGCAGTAATCTGTTAGCATTTTTCGTTGCTAATTCAGAGGCTCAGTGTTAGCATTGTGGGTTTTATTATTTTTTTTAAATAAAAATGATCAGTTAGATGAGTTTCTTCCCGTTACATGGATATAAAACATTCATAGTTTATTAAATGAACATGCCCTCAGCCACTGTTTCCTGCAAGATGTTGCGGCAGTGCCCCGGTACCGGGGTCTCTCGGGCTTAACAGGTTAAAGGTGGGGTAGGTAATTCACTTCAGAAACACTTTTTGTTATATTCCATGGAATGCTCTTAACATCCCGATAGCAATGAATACATGAAATGCTTTGACAATAAATACATTAAAAAATGTCATCTGTGGAAGCCGTGGCTCTGTAAAAAGCACGACCAATTATTTTAGCCGGGATGGCCTACCTGCCTGTCAGCCTTCCATCTCGTGCACAAACTTATCTCGTGCCCTCATTGGTCATGTGCGCGTTTGTGTGTGTTGGAGGAGGGGCTCTGTCAGGAAGTCTGAAGGAAGGGGCAGATTTTTTCGGCTGCGTAGTTTCAAATTCTAGCGCACTCGAGCTGGTTTCTCCATTCTTACCTACCCTACCTTTAAGTAGAAGTAAGGAAATATTAACATCAGCTAAATGTAGACTGCTTAAAGGGTAGCCTACCTATTATGCAAAATCCACTTGTTCATGTCTTTTATAAACATGTGTAAAGATATTCTGAAAGTTTCAGGAAAAAGGATTCGCTCACTTTTTGTCCCGATCCATTTATATAAAAACCTGACTGAAAAGGAGCTGATCAGATTTTGGCAACTTTATGATGTCATATTTTTTGGCTTGTGTAACCATTAGCCAAACACCAACCAAGGTAACCCCGCCTACCTTATCACCTGAATCTCCTGCTAGAGCTCCATTGTGTTCTTGTTAACCAATCATCTCGCAGAGGGGCGTTGGGAGTGGCTCCTTATTTTCATCTAAAGTAACAGACAGAGAATCAGCACTTTTGAAACAGGGCTGAAACAGAGGGGATTATTGTATTCTTTTTTTTTTTTTTTATTTAACCTTTATTTAACCAGATAACATTGAGATAAAATCTCATTTTCAATGCTGACCTGGCCAAGAAGGCAGCAATGTTACACATAACACATAACACAAACATATAAAATACGGAGAACATAACTAAGAAAACAAAAGACGAAAAAGCAGTCACTACATTGAGCACATTAGGACAGTAAAAAAAGTACACTACTTGTTACTGCAAGAGCAGCTGGTGGTGAGGACTTCAGACAACTTCAATTTAAAACATGATATAGAGACAAGTGCCATCAGTTTTAGGCTTGATTGAAGGTCATTCCAAGACCAAGGACCATAATAAGAAAGACTCCTTTTTCCAGCCTCAGTCCGTACAGTAGGTGCTACAATGCATGATCTGTTTGGTATTTCGAGCCAAACACTTCAGAGACATGTTTTGTATATATCTGAGACCTATAATATATTGATGAAAAACAGTATAATAGGGAACCTTTAAAGTTTTCAAAAAGCAGAAAGGCACTTCACATTTGCATCAGAGGGTTTTTATTGAATATTATATAATCCTGTTTATATCATTTTATTACAGACATTTCAATGTCATAGTTTTTCAAACTGTAAACCCAATGTATGTTAATTTGTAAAATACTGTGTTGATTGGCTACTATATCATATAAAATAAGCATATCATGTGTTTTTATGTGAAAACACATGATATGCTGTGTTGAATAAATGTTAATGAGTAAAAAATACAATATCTGCCTCTGAACTGTATATCATTGAAAATAACTACAGTAATGATTACTGTGGTATTTGCTACCGTGTTTATAGATATATACCTTTCTTTCTCCTGAATGAAAACAGCAATGGATCAATGGAGTATCAGTGACTCCACGGCGACACTATCTATAAAGACCACATCTGTAGTGCTTTATGAAGTCAGTGAATTATATTGTCATCATTATATTCATAACGATTTATGTGTAACCAAATAAATACACTTATATAGAAGTGGACTGATAAGGCTTTAACATTCAAAAGTTATACTCACCTATACGTCAACATTCAGCTGTTGTAAGGACTCATAGTATACCATAATAGTCCATACATTTTTTACATAAATCTTTTATGTGTGGGAGTGAGAGGGTGTGTTTCAAAAGTATGGAACAATCATAACAAAGTCATTATCTGCTGGGTGTAACTATTACAATGGCTGTACAGCTGATGATTTGTTAGAATATCCCAACCTATTGCTTTGGAGAAGTATTGAAGTTTGTTACTGAAGCAACATCGGAAATATCAGTAGCAAGATGTGCCTTAAATACATATTCTTAAAAGGAAAATACAGTTAAATTAATTAATTTTACAATATATATTTTATAATTGATATTTGACAAAGCTGGACATGACGATCTAACTTCCAATTTATATTTATTTATCACATTTCAAATTATAATACATACACATTCCAGTATATTTGTTAGAGCATGTCATTGAACTACATCTTAAAAAAGCGTTGCAGAGACTCTGAGGCTCCTCATCAACACCACTTCTTTAAGACGAGCAAACCGTTTCTTGCTTCCATCACTCTGGAGGGGAAGACTGGCCACTCTTCTCTGCTGAGGACGGGAAGCACATTATGTGAGCCGTAAATGTCTCCATGGATATCTCATCTGGGACCGCACCCTCCAGAGAATACTCAGAATCTCCACCTGGACACACAGCAAAAAGTGATGATGTATTTCAGCTGTTTTTTGAGTTCTTAGTATTGCCTGCTTGTTAGTGAGGTTTTTCATTTACATACTCTTAGATGTATTATTGTCATGCCCAGAATGTTGTCTTCCTCTGGCTTCTAGTGCCTTTTCTTCTCCTTTTTCTTTGTCTTTATTGAGGCCTAAAAGTGTAGTGAAACACTCTGCCATCTCTTCCTCTGTCATGTGTTCTCCTGTCAAAGATAATATATGATAATGAATTTGCATGTAGAAACTGGAAGAAGAGCAATGTGACAGTAATCTGACTGGAAAGACTTCAGAATACCTTGAGCCTGTAGGAGTTCCAGCAGTTCCTGTCTCTGCAGAACAGGCTTTCCTCTCTTATCAGGGTCTCCAAGGATATGAAAAGCTTGAGCAAGCTCATGGTTAGAGATGCCCAATGCTGGCCGGTGGTTGACATACAGCTTAATTACCTCCTCCAGGTCAATGTCAGTCACATATTTTCCTGTTTCTGCATACTTGCTGAACTTGACCTCGTTATGCATATTTTCTATCTGGTAAGAAATAGAATGAGCAATTTGTTACCACATTTGAGTTATTTGTAAATCATTTATCTTGTAATGAATCATGTCAGATAGAATCACATGCGCCTTTGAAACATGTTGCTTCATTTTCACACATTGTACCTCTTGCTCAGTTGGGAAATAGGCCAAAGCTCTCATTAGAGAGGGAACCTCTGACAGGGGGATTTTGGTTGACAACTGCCATTCCTTTGTTGAGTCATTGCCTTGATGACGGAGTTGGCAGTAATAGAAAAGGTCCTCCATCTCCTAAAGACAGAACAATCTCATAAAACGGAGAATCTATGGATAATACCATGAATGCAAGTATAAGCTATTATCTTGATAGTGTGGCATTTTATAATCCAAATATATAATATACAGAATGTGTGAATATGGGCAATGCTCCCCTATATAAAATACAACATTTTTATAGTAAATGTTGCATGTGTGTTAAATATTGTGCCACTAAAGAATCCACTGTCCAAAATAATCACCCACCCATCTTTTCCAATTGTTTAGTGTATTACATTTCTGTGACAATTAAGATCATACTAACATACTGATAAAGAGTAAAACTCTTACAAATGGTAAACAGGAAAATGCAAGAACATATTATAAGATTGGAAAATTACATGTGCAAGCTGAGCGCGTCTTTCTTAATGTAACAGAGCTTTAAATAACAGAATAAAAGATGAGTGTTAACCATAAGGGAACTTACAAATGTTGACCCCAAAAACTGACCAACAAACCAAGTTCTTAATCAAAATCAAAATGCAAATGATGCATTTTAACCTCGATGACACTACACCTTAACGAACAGAGCACATGCTTCTTCTTTTAGTAAATGAAAGAGAAATATGTAGCTGTTGATCAGTGAACACAATTTTAGGTAACAAGGAACTCTTTCAACGGACCCTGTAGAACTTTCCGTCTCTGCCTCCCTCTAAAAGAGCATAAAAGGGCAACATGTTCTTTCCTCCCAAAGCAGCTGCCCCCTCCAATGCACTGCAGACACAATAAGAGAGACAGTTAACAACAGAAAACTTGGCCACACTGCAACAATGCATTTCCTTCTATTATCTGGTTGGTACTATTTGACTTTACTTGAAGCTTATCTCCCAGGACAGGACAGTGCCGTCAGATCCTCCTGCAGTGAAAACAAACTGGCCATCGTAGGAGCAGGCTAAAGTGGACACCCCTGTCGGGTGGCATACCACAGCATTGGACTTGTAGGGGTTCCCGTCCAGAGGCAAAATCTGGAGACCAACCTGGGAATATTACACAGTTTTAGTGGCATTATCTTTATTGTGAGTAACAGTATTTTCTTACGTGAAAAAACCCACTTTCATCTACATCCTTTCTTATGTCCAACTGGCCTATCTCACACTAAACCAAATACTGTGACAAGAAGCAACAGAGAAAAATAATGAATGAGAAATTAAAAGAGAAAAGCCTTGCACACTGAGCTGCTGGCAAGGTGATCATGTAAAAAAAAAGAAGTGTTTGTTCTTGTGACTTCACACAACCTGTACAAATATAATTACATTATTTGTAATAACACTAACAAGAGCAACAACTTTTCTTAAAAGGCTTGTAATTGTTTATAAAACGCAAACATTTAAGAGAAATACTTTACACATCTGACGCACAAACCTTAATTTTGATCACAAACAAAATAAAATAAGCATTAACTTACTAGAAAATACTAGATACAGATTCCAGCACTGACCTTGTCCTCTGTGATGTATGCCATGTAAAATGAGTTCGTGTCAGGGTCTTTAGTCAGAGGAAGGACCATGGTTTTCTTAATGGGCGAGCCATAAGTTGGGCCAAGGAGAGTCTTTCTGTTTTAGTGAAAAATGTTGTAATGTATATAACATACAACACAATATAAAGTATTTGTAAAGACAGTTTGACAAATACAAATACATCTGATTTCTATATATCTCACGGACCTGCACATCTTGGTGGTGCTGTTGAAAAGCTTAATCTTGTATTGGTCTGAGGAAACAAGTAGAAACTGCTCTGCAGTGAGGGGTGGATACCAAGTCATGCCAGTTGGCACTTCACTTTGCTCAATGCGCTCCGAGCTTAGGATGAGAAGTTCATTCACGTCACTTTTTTGTAGGTCATACTCCACCTATTATTCACAAAGATGTGTGTGGCATTAAACACACAACTCTTAACTAGTCCACAGTGATACAACTTTGACAAAGGGGACTAACCAGTCTGCGGTCCATTCCCAGAGAGAGCAGTCTGGGTTGAGTGCTGTCCAGGTGAACTCCAAAAAGAAGGTCTTTAATGGGCTTGTAGTGCGAGTAGTATCTGCCCAAATATGTCCAATGAGGCTTAGAGCCTTTACTAGTCTGCAAGCGAAACACCGTCACTGCTTTCCCATCATCCTAAGAGAGAACATGGAAGTAAAACATGTCAAACATGAAATCATAAGAAGATAAGGATGAAAATATACTATTGCAGTATACATCATCAAAGCCTTAAACCTATTGTATTTCGTTGCTCACCGCAGTAGCAAGATACTTGGAGTCTGAGGAGAAAGTGATGTGATGGATGCTGTCTTTACTGTAATGGAAACACTCCGCGGGATCACTTTTTAAAGTCCTGGAATTCAATATGTGAACGGCTCCACTGCCAAAGCCAACTGCCAGGTATATCCCTGTTCAGAGACAAGGAAGAAGAAGAAGACATACTTTATTTATCTCCGTTTGTTTACACACAGGACACACAGGCTTGTTATACATGCACAAACAGAAGCATATGCAGGATAGGAGAGCTGTCAGAGTGAAGGGGCAGCCAGTTAGCCGGCACCCAGAGCTTTTGGGGTTCGGTGCCTTGCTCAAGGGCACCTCGGCAGTGCCCAGGAGGTGAACCGGCACCTCTCCAGCTACCAGTCCACACTCCAGATTATTTTGGCCTGATCGGGATGTGAACCGGAGACCATTTGGTTCCCAGGCTAAGTCCGACTGAGCCACTGCCGCCCAACAAGGCTGGTGTTTACATAGCAAAACACAATGGCAAATTCCTGCAGCTACTGGCTGGTAATATGCAACATGTGTTTGTTACAAAGAGAGTCTCAGTAAGCAAGTTGGCTAACCTTGAGGGTCAAAAGTGACACACTGAATCTGCTTCTCTGTCTCAAAGATCCTGCTGCAGATGATCACTTTGGTGTCAGAGTCCCACACTTTTAAAACACCCTTATGGTTGCCAATGGCCACGATTGGCTGCTCAGGGTGGCAGGCCACTGCATGTATAGGACCACATTCTTCGTGTAGCAGGATGTCGAGTCTGCCATTCTGTGTATTTACATGTACCACTGTAGAACTGACTGTGGACACAACAAAGTTCCTGCAGAAAAAGAGAGGTTAGAATGGATTCAGATACACATAACATCAAGACTGAACACATAATAGATTGTGTTTCCTCTACCCGATGATCAAAGGTTTCGCCTCCACAGTGCAGTCCTCCAGGTATCCCTCTGTACACTCTTTGGAAAAGGAAATGGAAACAATAGCATCCAGGTGGAATTTAGTGTACGAAGTGAGAATCTGGAATTCTTCATCGTAAAAGTTGATGTGGCCTTGAGTGTCACCCGTCACGAAACAGCTGTGATATCACAAGACACACAAACAAAGAGACATTAAAGACAAAATACATGACACATTTCTAAAACATTATGAATATTATGTTCTGGCTACCTGTCAGTTACGGTGAGAGCAGTGATCGGGTGCTCCTGAATGGGAATCAGTTTGACTGTGTGGAGGCTTTGGTTTGCAGCTAAGTCTTCCTCCAAAACCCACACCACAATGCTGCCTGCTGCAGTCGCTGTTATGATTTCAGGCTTGCTCCAGTGGAACACAGACTGGCTCAGTGACCCAGCCATGAAGGTTGTCTGAGAAGTGTCAGAAGAAGACTGAGTTAAAACAGAAGTATCAGATCCATGGAAAGCTGCATCATCAGACTGCAATGTTGAACAATGATATATATTTATCAAACAATGATTTGCATTAAAAGTCAGAAACATCTCCGATAATTTGATGGCAGCCTTTAAGACATTTTGATTATCATGTCACCTTTTAGCCTTCAGTGCAACGTATTGAAGAGCCCCAGGGGTCTGAAAAAGACCAGATGATTATCGCAATAAACATACCACATAACAGCTGTATTAACTGTTTAAATTAAAAAAGAACAAGTAAAAGCAAGACTTACCCTGCTGTAAAACAACACATGGCTTTCACTGCTGCTGAGCAACTGAGTGCTATCATTTGGATTAAAAATTATGTAATCCTAAAAAACAATCCAACATTTAAACATTTGATCTGCTGAATGCAATATATCTAAGATAAGGTGGCATTAAACTGTTAAAAGAAGTTACCTACTTGGAAACCATGTTTAGGATCGAGTTCAGTAAACCACAAAGGCTTCATGTTGGTCATGTCTGTTTCATTTGTCCAATCCCAAATATACACACACTGTAAAAATAAATGTCAAATGGTTAATAGATTGTGACTAGATGGTGGTGTTTGTGTGGAGTCATACTATGGAGCTTCATTTAAGAAGGTCAACAGTCCTGGCTGTCATTTCCTTTCATCATAAATGAAGACCAGAAGGTGATACTTTGTATAACAACAGATATTATTATGTGTCTCCATTTTTTTTTAATGGATTGTGTAATTTACAATCTATATTAAACAACACTGTTAACTTTATTTTTATTTTTTTAACTGCTGTGATACTCACTTGAACTTCCTCAGCCCCAAGGGTTACCAGATGCTTCGTGTCTCTTGAAAACGCCATTGCCATGACACCACTCTTAGGGTGGCATTCAAACAATGTATGTACAGGAATGCTGAAACATTTATCATTAATGTGGTTACCATTTAGAGCAAAGGTTAATACATAAAAAGCCTTTATACACGTAGAACAAAAAGCTACCCAGAGTAGGAGTCCCATATGATCACTGTGCTTTTTGGACCTCGGTCTGCTGTTGCAATCCAGCGTCTGTCTTCACTCACACACATAGTTGAGATGGGATGGCAGTGACCCTGAAAGAATTGAGTATACATAGAAGGTTATTTGAATCAACACTGCAACCTGCATGCATGATACTTGTGAAAAGATTTCTGTAGCCAGTGAAAGTATTCAGATCCTTAGGTAGTTATAAATACCCCACTACAAAAATAAATCCTTTACAATAAGAGTCCTACATTGAAAATGCTACTTAAGTAAAATAATGTAGTATTTATCAGGTGAATACTCAAATTAAATGCATTATATATTATATCATTGGGTTTTTATTATGCATACTATAATTTGAAAGCAGAATTTTCTGATGTAATGTAGCAATTAATTAATATTATGTTATTATTGATTAATCTTGTTAAATTCTGAAAATAGTGAGAATGTTTGCAATAATCTTAATTTGTAAATTAACTAGTAAACAAAGCTCAATAATTAGACTAGAATCTTCTCTACAATACAAACATTTCAGTAGACTCTGAGCTGCATTGGAGTAGATCTGGATTGTGGCATTATGAGAAAAGACTCAAGTAAAGAATAAGTACTTGTAATGCTAACTACTTAAATACATCGCCACTGTCTATTGGAGATTTTTACCTAGATAACTTAATCTAAAGGACGCTGTCTCGTCTCATTTTCAACATATTCCATGAAGTTGTAAACTGTTTATTATTTTGTACTTGAAGTATGTGCTGGGAGTTGGAGGTGTGATTGTAGAGGACCCCGACATGAGCTCCAGCATAGAAGACCACCAGTTGGCCGTGGTCTTGCAGACAGAAGGCAGGCAAAGCAGGATTCATCCCAAATACCCATTCTAGGGACTGAATGAGGAGCAAAAGCAATTGTTACTGCAAGTGCAGAGGGTAAACATAAAAAAAAACACTTATTTCAGTAGAAATATAGGTCACCTATTCGACAGGATATGCTTACCAATGCATGAGTTCCATTATGAGTAATCTTCTTTGGGAACAGTGTGTCTCTGGTTGCAGTGTAGACCTGAGACTGCCTCTTGATCTCAGCATCTGTTTCTTCTCTTCTCAATTCTAAACTCTCCGTGAATTCTTCCTTAGCCTCAGCACCTGACATGATGACTAACCTCTCACTTGTTGAAGGTTATTTTCTCTTTTTAAACAACTTTAGAGAACGTCTCCCATTGTCCTGTCAAGTCGAAATCTCTTTTTGTGATACGAAACATACTATTCGAAATGTATTAAATAGAAAACACATTATCAGGTCCGCTCTTGAACAACTGCCTCCTTCGTGTCGAACGCATACACTTTTTATTTGGGTTTAGCTGGTAAATTTGATTTAAAAAACCCGCAATCTCTATAATTTTGCTCGCTCCTGCGAAGCGTTTCGTTGCCTGGTTACCGTAGCGAGGTTGGGGAACGAAGGGATGGTTTCCTGCTATTCCTTTCAAGTTAAAAGCGCGATCATTTTATAATAAAATAAAGAATATCAGACTTCAAGATTTGGCTTTAGTTTGCTTTACTCAAGTGAGTGAGAGAGAGTTTTAAAAGTGTAGGCCTTGTCTGTTTTATTTCAATGTATTTACACATCACAGAATCATTAGCTTTCAATAATGATGGTTCTCTTTTTAAAACAACAAAATAGTGATGCATTTTTGGTTGAATGGACAGATAAAATACATTATTCAAAAAGTTTTCATAAAAACGTCATCAAAACAGATACTAAAATGACAATGAATGCAGTAGTTAACTTAAAAAAAGCACTTCTAAATGTTTTCATTTAATAATGTAGAGTTACAAACCGCAAACACTTAAACAAATAATTGTAATTTTTTCAGTTTTGGTCATTTTTTTAAACTACCGTTATGCTAGATACGATATTATAATAAAACTTCTGGTTAAAACATTAACATATAAAACTTTTATAAGAGACACGGGTGTAGTTACGCATTGCGACCACTAGAGTGTAATGTAGACACGGGACTGTTATTTTTTTATAAAAACAATGTTATTCTAGTGAATTTATTTATTAATTATTATGTGTATTTGATGTTATTGTATTCATTTATTTATTAATAATTTGTACTCAGGCTTTTCAATGCTCTGGGGACAACCCCAGAAGTAAAAATCAAGGCAGGCAAAAGCAAATAAAGATTTCCGGTACAGATTTTCAAAACAAAATACCTTTATGTTTCAATTAGAGAGACATCAGGTTACAGCGATTACGGAACGTGTTCTTATTCTATATCTATAGTTTTGGTTGACGGATAAGTGATGCTGACTTGATGTTCGTGTTTTGGAGGTAAAAATATCGTGTTTACTTAGGGAACAGGTACAATTTTTTGCGATACTTTTGCTTTGAAAGGACGCTGCCTGGTCGATCACAGCTTGCAACTTGACTTTTTATTTCCCTCAATACTTTCCGGTTGCACAGGTTTGAAATCAGCTGATTTTCTGTCTGCGTTTCTAATTAGTTCACCGTGAAGTTTACCTACCTTTGTTTAATTCTTATTTAACAACATCTCATCGACCAAGGGCTGAAGATTATGGTTTTCATTTCATACTTATGATGAGTTTGTGACAGTTAAGAAACCAGAAAGGCGACACTGCGATCAGGAAGCGGCTAACTTAGTTATGATGTCACCAGCTGACAGGTGAGGAGGCATTTCAATAACTGGACCTTATCATTACACTTATTTGCTTTTTACCTGCGACACAAGTTAAATTAGATTGTACATTTAACTACAATAGTTGTCAGCTTTAGCCAATCGGCGTTAGCTAACAGCCATTGGTTCTTATCGCAAATCCCCTCAGCTGACAGGCAGCTTTTTACTGTTAGCTAACAATTTAGCCAACACTCATGAACACAGTTTTGTATAGGAAATGTAAGCCTGAGTTTCAGCTTCTTTTCTTACTAGACTGCTGACGCTTTCATGTAGTATTAATCATTTGAAAACTTTTAGGAAAGGACTATTATGGACTTGCATGAAATAATTAGAAAGAGGAAATAAAAGCAAAAGGAGTGAAAGGATACAAAAACGTACTTTCAATTAAACTTTGCATGTTTAGGTAAAAACATTGATACATTATTGGATAGTATTTCCTTAAAATGTATCTTCCTTAAATCAATATGTTGTGCCTGAGCATAAATCTCAATTTTTTTTCAATTACTGGATAACACACTATTTGGTTATTTTCAGTAGCCTACTTAGCAAAATATTCAATGTAAACGTATTTATATACGCACAACACTATATGTTAGTTGTCAAGTGCTTTTGGTTGTTGTTTTCTGCTGTTTATAAAAGAAGCCGTAGTTTTTATTGAAGCAGAATATCTCAATTTAAACCAGTTCAAGCTAAAAATACAAAATGTCATCCCTTTATGACACAATGTAGTGTAGTGTTCCTCGGTTTTAAGGGCTGAATTGCAGCATTGTGTGTCCTAAAAGGATGTCTAGATGAACAAGTAAGATGCCTGAGGTGATGTGCCAAGTTTAGTAGCACAACCAGGCTATAGCTTGAAGTTTTAGTTTACATATGTACAAATGTCTGAAGGAATTATATTAGAACCACAGAGTTAGTTGGACAACTTGAATTCAACTTTAAATATTAATGTTTTGTCCAATAGGCGGAAGTAGTATATGAAAGAGCTCCACAATGTCGACAGATAAGCAAAGGGGAATCCACGTTTCTCAGGAGGAGCTGCTCTGCAAGAATTCCTGTGGGTATTATGGAAACCCTGTGTGGCAAGGCTTCTGCTCCAAGTGCTGGAGAGAGAAAGCACGTATAGCTGGAGCTTCTAGGCAAGACACAAGGTAAATAGAAATATTATTTATATATATATATATATATTTTAAACAGTCATTCTGACTCAAAGGAGCCTTTTAGATCTTGATATATTTGCCAGCAGTCATTTAAGTCACATCTTAAAAGCAACACGTGAAAGAAACGTCATAGTTACGACCTTAATGACTATTGAAGAAAACAGTTTCACATATTAATTACACATTTATGGGAAAATTCAATACCATACCTAGTAAAGTTCTTACTTTATAAAGTGCATTGTAGTACCAACTGGATTTGTAAGGGTAACTAGTATGTCATAATGATATAATTACTGGAACATAAAATAAGTAACGTAGGGAACATAAGTGCTTTTGGTTTGAACTGTCTACAGATTTGAGGTCTTATGTTGTCATTCTTTGTAGGCCGAGCAATGATGGAACTCCTCTCACCTTCTCCAAATTTGAGGAGAAGAAAAGCACTGAGAAAGGACGTCGTATCAACACAATGAGGAGACTCTTTTGGGGCAGCCCATCCCCTCCTAAACTTCAAGGTACTTCTGTTTGCTTTGTGTCCTCTGATTCATTCTCTGCCAACAAGTCAAAACAGTATCTGTAAGCTACTCACAACCAATTTAAGAGACCTAGTAACAAAGGTAGAATATAAAAGTGCAACCAATGTGTAGCTTCGACTGCACACTGCTTCATATATATGTCTTATTATCCTAAAAAGTAAATTCAGTAAAAGTAAAAACGTAACTTGATTTTTATCTGCGCCATTAAACCAGCACTTTTAACATTACTGCTTCATGAGCCATAGACCATATATTTCACAGCAGATAGCAGGTGTAGCAGGTTTTCAACCTCAAAGGATTCTGAAGGTATCTGCGGTGAATTTTGTCCCCTTGTTCGCTTGGTGATTCACTTTTTTATATTCTTTGAAAAAATGTTTTAATTTCTGTTTGTAGCACTTAAAGGGGGTGACGTATTTAAATCCAATGAAGTAGCACTTAAGATTGGTTTTCTTATTGAAAGCTAATGTGCTTGAAAGATTCAGGCGGTTTTTGGTCTCTTCATGGTTGATTACTGTAAATCGCTTTGGATAAAAGCTTCAGCTAAATTAAATGTAATTTAGATTTGACCAAAAGCAGTGACTGGGCCAGAAGTCTTTCAAAAATCTGACGCCATTTCAAATATGATATTAAGATATTAACATGTGTTTATTTATTTATCTAACAATAACATACACCTCTTATCCCTCTAGAGTCTTCTGAAAGCCATGCTAATGTGCTAAAAGCTTACCAGAGCCTCGAGGCCGGGGACTTCACCGGTTTCCTGAAGATACTAAAGAGCCCTTCCTCACAGCGCTTGCAGTCCCGATGTACAGCCTTCCTCAACACAATGGAAGCTTATCATGTAAGTAGCTGTTTAAACGTTTGACAATACACTTATTTTAACTTTTCTTTGTATGGCCAGAGCTGTTCTGATAAGTGGCTTCTCATCATCTTTACAGGATCTGCCGGTACAGAAGCAGTCAGATCTCGTGCAGGATTTCTACCAATCCTTTGCTGAATATTTTAACAGTGAGTCAGATTAATTCAGTATTTCTTGTCCTGTTTATTCTGAAATCAAAAACATTTGAATGACTTTTACATTTTAATAATATAACTGTATATGTTTATTTTAATTTCAGGTTTTCCTGAGGCTCAGGTAACTCAAATAATGGAGCATGTAGAGAAGCTAATAATGACCCGGTTGCACAAATGGGTTTTCTGCCATGACAGCTGTGATGATGAACAGAAGGACCTGGCTCTCCAGAGAAGGATACGGTAACCCTTATATACCAATCACCTTTGTTGATTTATCAAAACCTCTTACCTACAACCCTGTTTAGACGATAATGTCTTTACTTTGCAGCTCTTTAAACTGGATCACTCCTCAGATGCTGAGCGTACCCTTCCCTGATAAAAAGATTGAAGTCACAGGCGACCCCTTCCTGCCTGCTATAACAGGTGATCACAAGGACTCTTTCGTAACTTTGGGAAATATGTTTATTATCTTTCTGGAGGATAGTTAGCTGAGAAGATCAATATAACAATCACATCAGATCTGAGAGAAGGGTAGGGAAGAGCGAAACAGGACAAACTGACTATGTTCCTTTTCTTAGATTAAGTGTATTTGTATTGATCTCCATGTACCTCTTGAGCGGAAGTATATTTCCCAACAATAACTCCGTAAATGTGGTTGGGAAAAGCCCTTTTTTAAAGCTCATTGGAGAAAGTAGTAGGTTTCCCATATACTGTTAGCATCACTGGAAGGTCTGAAATGCTAGCCTTTGATATTTCGTTCTGCCCTCTTATTTTTTAACAGCCATAATTGAAATGGATGCCAAACGAGCGCCTCAGGACAAACTTGCATGTGTGTCCAAATGCAGTCAGCATGTCTTTGAAGCGCTCTCCACCTCGAACAGTGAGCCCGCTAATGCTGATGACTTCCTGTCAGGCTTGGTTTATGTGGTGCTGAAGGCCAATCCACCCCGCCTACACTCAAACATGCAATATGTGATTCGCTTTGGTCTTCCTCACAGTCTGATGGCAGGAGAGAGTGGATACTATTTCACTAACTTGGTAAGTTTATTGCAAAGTGACTCATCTGGTGACCACGACAGGATGCTGTGGAGCGAGGTCAGTTATGCTCACATCTTTGCTTTTTGTCCCCTGTTTTAGTCTTGTGCAGTGGCCTTCCTCGAAAAGCTGGATGGACCGGCTCTCAACCTCAGTCAGGAGGAGTTTGAGGGCTACATGCTGCGTCAGCGTGCTCCTTCTGCAGGAAAGAGGCAGCGGGTTGTCAGTGACACACAACATCTGTTAGAAGAGCTTCAAGGCAGACAGGAGAAGCTCGACCAAGGGATGGATTCTCTTAGTGTGCAGCTACAGAGTTGGGTCCATGCTGTTAATTCACAACTGGATGAGGCCACAGCTCAGTTTGCTCTGGTACAGACGGAGGTCACCGCTAAGACTGAGTCCTCACAGGTTTTATCATCCTCATCTCATGATGCATTACTGCAAGGTGATGATAAAGACGAGTCTGTGCTGAAGCTTATGGATCAACATGCAGGTCCACAAGATACAGACTGTTAGTTGTATTAAAAAAAAAACCTAATCTGGTACTAAGCTCTTTTTAATCAGCATTACTAACGAAACAAACAGATTTATATTTCACACATTCCAACTACAGAAAGCCGGGATTTGGAAGCCAGTTGAACATGAAGGAAAACTTTTTGAAGGAAACGTTTTGCATTTGGTATCACGGGGCACACAGAGGTTTTTATTGATAAAAAAAAAATTGCACTTGGATCCTGTTTCAGGATGAAGGACATTAAAAATGCATTCCAATTTGTATTAACGGATATGATCAGAATGAATACTCAAGCACTCAGGGTACACAATACTTGGAGCTGTCAGCTAATACTTCAAGAGTGCTTATATAATATTCACTTTTTTATTTACGTGTATACCAGTGTGCCTCTATGTAAACCGCTGTGAAATGAAAATAAAAATGCTACAGAGGAAATGTCAGATGCCAGATGTAGACCACTACAAGTCAGAAGGTGTATTTAGTTATACAATGATTTCTTTCAGAGCTGTGGATCTGTTCTCAACATGCTGCCTTGAAGAATAGCAACACATTTTGCCATCTGCATTAGTGTGCTAAATGTTTCCGTTGTTTACAACTTTTAAAAAGATTTCTGAAGTAATTATAGTGTAAATGTTATGAGGAATTATGTACCCAATATTATATTAAAGGTTACTTTAAAGGTTAAATGATGTGCTTTGTGAGAAAAAAATTCGACGGACAACTCTTAAAAATGAAGACATTAAGAGTACAGTTTTATTATAGGGTTTTGCTTCAAACACAAGTAAAGTATTTAAACACCAGGTTAAATCCAGTTCTTAAATAATTACTATAAGAGTAAATGTGTCTGTTTGGTTATTTATTTGAGAGGGGTGCTTTGGAGTGGGAAGTTTAACAGGTATTCTTTTGACTTTTTATTTTTTATGTTGGTGATATCAATTTTTTTTTAATAAAAATGTAGTTAACCTAATGGTAACATACTGTATCTGCTCTTCAACGGTTTGAATAATAATCCTGTTTATAATCACTTGACTATAATCAATTTCATGTATTTTATGCCATTCAGGAGCTAAATACGTACTTTGAACATGCTGTATAATAATGCACTTTACTGTGAATATCTGAGGGTTAGTAAAGTAAACATGAATATAAGAAATCAGATTTGTTTTTGTAAATTATCTGGTAGAAAGAGAAATACCAGTAAAATGATCCTTATTTTATCCCTAATTTATCAGAAATGTTGCATATAAAATGTAAATAATAACAAAAAGGGCATTAAATGCAAAATAATATTTACTGCCTATTATGCCTACCCTTTTAACATAGCATATTCCAATAGACAACAACAAAACATTTGATTTGCAAGGTGCACAACACGTTCTTAATTACTTATCAGTATCATTCCACAAACTACATTTTTGACAGATATTCGTCCTTTATATATATTTTTAAAACGTTATCATTGTTTTGTAATCCCTGCACTGCCCTTGGAGAACAAACGTATTTATGTATTTAATGCATGATTTAATGTAATGTTCACATCGACCAGTTGAGGGCGGTATAGCGCGAACACTGCCTTAAAGCTACCAGATAGAAGAACCCGGATGGGATGTACGTGCAACCATGAAGATGACAGGGGAAAACAGTGCTGGAAATTTGGAAATAACAATGGATGACGTTAAAAACCTGATGAAAAAGAAAGATGAAATTGAAGAACAGATAAAGGCTTATTATGATGTGTTGGAAGACGTAAGTTTGTCTGTTAGACATATTAAGAAAGCGGCGCAAAGCTAACACAAGGCTACATACATTAACTCTGAATAATCTAAACATGCCTTCCTTTATTTTTTTATGTTGACAGCAAGGTGTCGGAGTTGAAGGTTCCTTGGTGGACCCGGAGGGCTTCCCCCGAGGAGATGTTAATGTATACCAGATCAGGACAGCAAGGCACAGTATTTCATGTGAGCAGCGTGGTTGTTGTTGTTGTTGTTGTTGTTTACTCCTGTGTAACTTAGTCTGTGAAAGCCAGTGATGGAACAACAATTGAGATGTTTTACTTAGGTACTTAGATACCCAACTGTAAAAATACTATGTTACAACTAAAAGTCCTGCACTAAAATTGTTACCTTAGTGAAATGATGTATAGAGTGGCGAAGTCCCTCCCCTTCCGGTGGACCTCCATGGGACCTTATTTCGGAAAAATTATGTATTGAAGTCAATGGAGAGAGAAAGATTATCTTTCGATCCCGTTTGAATTGTGCCACGAATTACACATATGATGTTTGTCAATTTAAAAGATAATTTTGCAAGTCAAAAAAAAAAAAATGTGTCGTAAAACTGTGAAGTAACACATTTGTTTGTGTGAAACGCTCAATGAACTACATCTCTGGTCAACAACACACATCACCAAGATGGCCGTCACTACTGTCTTGTCAACAAAACGATTGACTATCCTCACTATCACCACAATGAAACACGTCCTGAAGAATGTCATGCAAAGCTGCCTGCCTGCCTTCCTTTGATTCTCTCTGAACTGCCTGGTCGTTTTAATGTTTAATGTCAACCATTTGTGCAGATAGCATGAAGTAGAGAAGATTGCCGATGCTAACGTTAGCGTTAGCATTTCTCCCCCGGGCTTAAATGGTGTATTATAGAATGATCACACCGGTGACAGTACTATTCAAAGGGTTCACGAAATATGACTACTACTCTTACTGTTTAACATTTTGGGTTACTTAATGTTACTTCATGTTAAGGCTAATAAAAATGACAAGGCTGTAATGCTAACTAACGTGCTAGCTAGGTAGCTAACTTGATCAAGCCACTCCTGGTCCTTTCATCAGACGGGAAGCAAAAGAACGAGCAAGACCCATTGCTGGTATAATAACAACCTGGTACTAAGCACACAGGCATCTTGTTAAAGTTATCTTATCTTAGCCAGCGCCATATAGATAGATTATATCTATATTGCGCTGATCTTAGGTATCTGAATGGTGGAGGAAAACAATTGTGACATCACTTACGCGACTCTGGGATTTGTAGTCTTTCTCGTTACGTATTTTTCATAGTCTTATATTTCAACAGTTTTACGACAAACTGTGACTTTTTTGACATGGAAATTATTTTTTAAGATTGACAAACATCATATGTGTAATTCATGGCACAATTCAAACGGGATCGAAAGATACGTTTTCTTTCCCCATTGACTTCAATACATAATTTTTCCCGGAAGTAAGTGGGCGTGACTTCGCCACTCTATAGAGTGGCGAAGTCACGCCCACCTACTTCCGGGTAATGGGACCTTATTTCGGAAAAATTATGCATTGAAGTCAATGGGGAGAGAAAACATATCTTTCGATCCCGTTTGAATTGTGCCATGAATTACACATATGATGTTTGTCAATCTTAAAAAATAATTTCCTTGTCAAAAAAGTCACAGTTTCTCGTAAAACTGTTGAAATATAAGACTATGAAAAATACGCAACTAGAAAGACTACAAATCCCAGAGTCGCGTAAGTGATGTCACAATTGTTTTCCTCCACTAAGAGATAGCTAAGATAAGATAACTTTAACAAGATGCCTGTGTGCTTAGTACCAGGTTGTTCATACCAGCAATGGGTCTTGCTCGTTCTTTCGCTTCCCGTCTGATGAAAGGACCAGGAGTCTCTGGATCAAGCTAGCTAGTAGCTAGCACGTTAGTTAGCATTACAGCCTTGTCATTTGTATTAGCCTTAACATGAAGTAACATTAAGTAACCCAAAATGTTAAACAGTAAGAGTAGTAGTCATATTTCGTGAACCCTTTGAAGAGTACTGTCACACCGGTGTGATCATTCTATAATACACAATTTAAGCCCGGGGGAGAAATGCTAACGCTAACGCTAGCGATCTTCTCTACTTCATGCTATCTGCACAAATGGTTGACATTAAACATTAAAAAGATCAGGCAGTTCAGAGAGAATCAAAGGCAGGCAGCTTTGCATGACATTCTTCTGGACGTGTTTCATTGTGGTGATAGTGAGGGTAGTCAATCACTTTTTTGACAAGACAGTAGTGACGGCCATCTTGGTGACGTGTGTTGTTGTGCAATGATGTTTGTCAATTAAAAGAAAATTTTGCAAGTAAAAAAAAAAAATGTTTTACCGTAAAACTGTGAAATAAGACTTTTTTTTGTGTGAAACCGCTCAATGAACTACATCTCTGGTCTCGCACAACTACACACGTCACCAAGATGGCCATCACTACTGTCTTGCCAAACAAGGGATTGACTACCCTCACTATCACCACAATGAAACACGTCCAGAAGAATGTCATGCAAAGCTGCCTGCCTGCCTTCCTTCGATTCTCCCTGAACTGCCTGATCTTTTTAATGTTCAATGTTAACCATTTGTGCAGATAGCATGAAGTAGAAAAGATTGCCGATGCTAATGTAGCGTTAGCGTTAGCATTTCTCCCCCGGGGGCATCCAGGCTTAAACGGTGTATTATAGAATGATCACACCGGTGTGAAAGTACTCTTCAAAGGGTTCACGAAATATGACTACTACTCTTACTGTTTAACATTTTGGGTTACTTAATGTTACTTCATGTTAAAGGTGGGGTAGGTAATTTTGGAGAAACCAGCTCGAGTGCGCTAGAATTTGAAAATACACAGCCGGAACAAATCTACCACTTCCTTACAGAGCCCCTCCTCCAACACACACGAACGCGCACATGACCAATGAGGGCACAAGATAAGTTTGTGCACAGATGGAAAGCTGACAGGCAGGTAGGCCATCCAGTTATTTTAGCCGGGCCGGCTAAAATGATTGGTCGTGCTTTTTACAGTACTACGGCTTCCACAGATGAATTTTTATGGATTTTTTGTCAAAGCACTTAAGATATTCATTGCTATCGGGATGTTAAGAGCATTCCATATAATATAACAAAAAGTGTATCTCGAGCCGGTTTCTCAAACGTACCTACCCCACCTTTAAGGCTAATACAAATGACAAGGCTAAGGCTGTAATGCTAACTAACGTGCTTGCTACTAGCTAGGTAGCTAACTTGATCCAGCCACTCCTGGTCCTTTCATCAGACCGGAAGCGAAAGAACGAGCAAGACCCATTGCTGATATGATTACAACCTGGTACAAAGCACACAGGCATCTTGTTAAAGTTATCTTATCTTAGCTATCTCTTATATTTAGTGGAGGAAAACAATTATGACATTACTTACGCGACTCTGGGATTTGAAGTCTTTCTAGTTGCGTATTTTTTCATAGTCTTATATTTCAACAGTTTTATGACAAACTGTGACTTTTTTGACATGGAAATTATTTATTAAGATTGACAAACATCATATGTGTAATTCATGGCACAATTCAAACGGGATCGAAAGATACGTTTTCTTTCCCCATTGACTTCAATACACAATTTTTCCGAAATAAGGTCCCATGGGTCGGAAGTAGATGGGCGGGACTTCGCCTCTCTATAATCTTGAAAATGGTGTTAAGAATAGAAGTAATCAATGCATTTCTCACATTTGAGAAGCTGAAGATTCTGGGAAAAACTGCAAATCTTATTATATTATTAGTTTAGTTTCCTCGTTAATGGTTAGATCTTGTTTTCCAGGCCTGCAGAATGACCACAAGGATGTGATGAAGGAGATAGAAGAAGCCCTTCACCAGCTGCATGCTCGAGAGAAAGCCAAGCAGGGCGGGGACGCAGCAGGAGGCCAGGAGGAGCCCATGGAGCAGCAGGTCACTCTTCATGCTCCCTTTGCACGGGTGGACGCTGTCACACAGGGCTCTCCTGCCTGTAAAGCTGTGAGTGATGTGAATGATGCTTTGGTATCTGGTTAAAGATAAACCATCAGTATTCTTTGACGAGTTGAAATTAAGAAGAAACCAATCTGCTTTTGATCCTGGGATTAAAGTAATCGTTTTTTCTTTTTCAAAGGGGCTGAGAGTGGGTGATGAAGTCACTGAGTTTGGTTCTGTGAACACGGGGAACTTTCAGAACCTGCAGAATATTGCTTCTGTGGTGCAACACAGTGAAGGGGTAAGCTACAGCAACTTTTTGTTTTGTCACACTGCACAAAGACAACCATTTTTTTAAAACAACGTTTTGATATATATCCTTTCAATAATCTCCTATATAGTGTCTGGCGTTGTCTGTACCTTCAGAGACCTGCAGCCCTCTGCCTGTATTTCTTTTTTTGCAGTGTTGGGGAAGTTTCTGGGTGTCAACGTCTGTAAAAACATAGAAACCAGGTGCAGGCGTAAGCTCACATCTAAGAGGAAGCTATAGAGATGGAGGACAAAGCCTTGAATACTTACAAACATAGGAAAGCAAAACATCAAGCTGACAAAGCTCTTTCAAATAGACTCTGGGATTGTCTTTCACATGCTGCAGAGCTTTGAGTGTTGTGTTGGAAAACCACAACCGTCACATTCTACTCATTGTGCCTTTAATTGTGTTGTGGTAGTTTTATTATTTTGTGATACAGATGGATGTGTGAGTTAACACCAAAACGATTTTAATAACCAAGCTGTTTCCAAGCATTTTTTTTTTAAAAATCCCATTTGAACTACATTTTTATTTGATTTATTCAATTAGGTTTTCTCAGACCTATCTGTCCTTTAGTTAAAATTAGAAGAAAGTCTTCTGGTAATCACTGTATATTCTTTCTCCTCATTGCACAACCATAGGTTACATTTTGCTGAACACTCTTAATATCTGGAGTGTAAACTGTAATATTGTGTCCTTTTACAGAAACCATTACGTGTCGCAGTCATCCGGGATGGCCAGAGAGCTCAGGTGAGCCTGACTCCACAGCGATGGACCGGCAGAGGTCTGCTGGGGTGAGTGCTACAACACAATCAGTCATGTACATGAATTGGCACAGATTTATTGGAGTTAATATCATGAAACAAAAACAGCTGTGAAGCCCATGTAACACATCTGTTGAAGGCTTTGAGTGACCCAAGCAGATATGTTAATTTATAATAATATTATAATTAAATATATTGGTGCATGTTTTACATGACCACACGGTAGGGATATTGGTAAGATATTCTTTAGTACATCAAACTTAGTTCATGAATGGCAGTAATAAAATGGTTCACTGGTCCTTGTTCTTTTTCGATTTCGATTCTGGGCCCCATCCTTTTTCTACTGTACATACTGCCCCAAGGTTCAATTCTCACAAAACATAATATTCCCTTCCACTGCTACGCCGACGATGTACAGATATATCTGCCTCTAAAAGCAAATGTCAAACACTCACTACAGCAGCTGATGGACTGCTTAGCAGAGATAAAATCCTGGCTGAGCAAAAACTTTCTCAACCTCAACGAGAGGTCATCTTTTTTGGACCGCAACCTCCAGCCTCTCCGGTTGATATTCTGGGGTCTCTCAAAAAAAACATCCTCCCCTCGGTCATGAACCTTGGAGTGACCTTCACCAGCACTTTTAAATTCGACAAGCAGATCAGCACTGTAGTCAAATCCTGCTTTTTTTAAATAAGACTATTGGCCAAAACCAAGTCGTATTTATCTTTTAATGACTTAGAAAGGGTTATTAACGCCTTTGTAACCTCGAGACTGGACTATTGTAACGCTCTGTATGTGGGTATGGACCAGGCCTCAATTAAACGCCTGCAGCTAGTCCAAAATGCAGCTGCATGTTTGCTGACTGGCCACAAAAAGCGTGACCACATCACCCCTATTCTGGCTTCACTGCACTGGCTTCCAGTTCGGTTCAGAATTGATTTTAAAATCCTTTTATTTGTTTTTAAAGCACTAAATGGGCTGGCTCCGGCCTATATAGCTGAACTCCTCGAGCGCTACACCCCAGCCAGAGCTTTAAGGTCTGCTGACCAGCTGCTGCTGGTAGTGCCCAAGACCAGGCTTAAAACCAGAGGGCACCGAGCCTTCGCAGCAGCTGGCCCTAGGCTCTGGAACACTCTGCCCCTCCATGTGAGGTCGGCCCAGACCCTAGGGGTTTTTAAATCCACTCTAAAAACACACTTCTTCTCTCTGGCTTTCTAGTTAGAGCGGAGCACGACTCCTGACTTTTCCTTGTGTTTTTATTTTAATTTTGTTTTTTATATATATCTGTTGTAACTTATTGTCGTTTATTGTGATTGTAGTAATGTGTTTTTATTACATGTACAGCACTTTGGCTCGACCAAAAATCGCTTTTAAATGTGCTATATAAATAAAACCTGATTTGATTTGATTTGATTTTCAGATGCAACATCGTCCCAATCCATCAATGAGCCCCATGACGAACAGAATTTCCTCTGTGAAACCTCCTCCTCCACTTCTGTGAATCCTGTATGGTTTTAAACTAACTTTGTACATACTGCAAACATTTACACCTGTTACATTTCTCCAAATGTTAAATCAAAACTGGTTCTATTTTCTTTATACAATAGAAGACTTCTGAAGGGGATTTATGAACATTGAGTGTCACAGTACTTTTGTTATGAGGACATGCTGAGTTTCCCAAATAAACATTGGTTGACCAAATTGTAATTTTTTCATGTCCAATGCTGTTATTTTGTATCTATGAAAAAATTGCTCTTGGGGAAAGATGTCCCATCGACTATTATGCATGAGCAATAGCAAATCGGGGATTTTTGGCATGATGGTAAAATATCAGCAAAAGGTTTATTCCACAAGTAATATCTTATTTTGAGTAAAGTTCAACACAGCTTCTTTACCCATTTAGAGCAGGGGTTCCCAAACTTTTCAGCCCGCGACCCCCGAAATAACAGTGCCAGAGATTGACAGCCTCGCTGCGGGGAAATTCTACAGATGGCCAGTCCGCCCCTGAAAAATGTCTATGCACACATTATTAATCATAATAAAAACAAATCATCTCGCGACCCCCACTTTGGGAACCCCTGATTTAGAGAACCTCGACCAAATCCATTGTAGTCATCTAAAGTCATATATTATTACATCAACACATTGATTCAGCCACGAATTAAAGAATATTCAGAGCAATATCTGAAAATCCCAAAACTATAATGAGAAAGGCAACAAGCTGGGAGACAATTTTAGGATGTTTTTTTATTTTGTAAAAATGTTCATAAAAAATCAGAAAGGTATTTTTTCCAAAAGCAGTGAATCCATTTACATGTAGGCTCAGCCAATCTTTTTCCAACAGCATGAACATTAATGGCACTTGTGATTCACTGGAACAGCTTTTTACCACAAGGAAGTATTTGGTATAATGAGATGAGACTGGAATGTTTGTATTATTTAGACTAGAGAACTGTTGAAGTGAAGTAATCAGCCTGAACATGTAAGTACATTCAACATGTTCATATGGCTAAAGGATGTCACTGAAGCGCGTACAAATCTATACCACACAAAATGGTATAATCCTAATATAAAAATGAAAACTAAATCCTCTACATTATTTCTATTCTAGCAGAAATCATGTTTGTTGCTTGAGTTTCTTCTTTTTGGGCTTGACCATCTGTGGTAGTTGGATTTTGAAGGCAGTCCTGAAAAGAAAAGGAATTATAGAAATGTGAACCAAAAGAAGATTAAATCAAACTGCATGATTTCAGGTGAATAACATTAGTTCAAATTTAAGAGGTTTTGTATTGAATATTTTATATAATTTGTTTTAACTCACTCGCAGGTTGTGCAGATGGGGCTGAAGTTGCAGAATACTTAGAGATAAAGAGAAAACAGGAGAATGCGTCACCACAACAAATAACTAACTGCAGCTTTTGACAACTATTTAAAGATTGAGGTCAAGATTTTTTTTAACTAGTATTCAAACTTACTTGATAGACATACTGAGCACACATAGCCAATCTCAATGAGGTTCCTGTGGCAGAAGCATGCGGCTCTGTAGTCCACGTGCACAGGTGGAGGAAGAACCAGCTGGGCCCGCTGCTCACAGTCAGGCAGGAACACCCACTGTTCAGAAAACACCACCATAAACAGAAAGCAAAGCTCATAACAAAAACATGAGATGAATGATACTCTGATATACATTGTGTAAATCTGTGTTGCACTCTCACCAAAAGGTATTGTGCCAAAGCAACTTTTTGTGGTATCTTGAGGTACAATCCTCCAGTTATATCGCAAGCCTACAAAGGACAAACATATAAAAGTAAAAAAACTGAGTATAAACATACAGCTTAGGACAGCATACAGTTGAAGTATGACCATTAAAAAAAACCTGTACACTTGGCCAATAGAATGCCACAGTGACGTGTCCTAAAACCCGGAAGTAAGTTAGCATTTTACCACTTTCTTTATCATTTTCGATTCCTAAATCTTATTGATAGATTTATGATCGATAGATTTATGATTCGGAAATTATAAAAGTAGGGTAGACATGTGGATATTATCCGGCTGAACAAAACGTGATCCGTCTCTTAAATGTGTGTCAACCACAGACCTTATTTCGAGCTATTTTCCACTTGGAGAAATTGCATTGTTTTTTGTCGAAGGAACCGGAAGGAGTTTACTTCCGGGTTTTAGGACGCATCACTGTGGCACTCAATACAAATGTATTTTTATTTAAAGCTTTTTGAATTTCATTACATTTGAATCACCAACAAAATCCTCAATTATTTTGTATTAAATCAACTTCCTCTAATAATTATACATTTTCCATGCATGACTCACTCTTTGTATGGCAAGCAGGAGAGCAAATTGTTTTTTGTTTGCAGTGAAAACTATTTTTTTTTAAAAATATGGATGGAAGCAGTATATTTGGCAAGAAAATTAATTTGGTAAATGATTACATTTATATATTTTCAATTTATTTGGGATTTCAACCCACTGGAGTTATTGAAAATGTTTGGATCACACAAGTCTAAAACAATCCTGATGATTTTAATAAACTAAAAAAACACTTTAAAGAATAATACAAATTATATTGGTTTGAGAGACAATTAATGGATGTTGATCTTCCTTGAATTATTCTACAAGTTATCCAATATGATTGCATAGTTGTGTTTGGTATTCTCAGGTTAAGCCTTTGGATGGAAATGTCCATCATAATAAAAGTATAGAATAACATTATAGTCAATGTCCTAACAAAGCCATAACATTGTACCTGCTGAAGGAGACCCGAGTCTGAGTCCAACACACAGGCATCTATCAGGATGTTCTGTTTTAAAATACAAAACAAATGTATTATAAACATATGTAAATGTTAAAACAAAAAAATAATACAAAACAAAATTGAGATCAATGATTGTACCTGCTTCTGGGAAGCAAAAATGACATTCATGAAGTTCATGTACTGTAGGGCACAGTCCTCGGCTGCTTTTATCACCTATTCAGTCAAATACAGAGATTGATTTCAAAGGCACGGACTAAAACAAAAGCACTCTCAAGCCAAATTCAACTTTTTAGGGCTTACCAATATTCTTGATTTTGTTTCTTGTCCAACTTAAAAAGAAAAGACAGTATTATTAAGTATGACAAGGAAAACAGAACCCGTTAAAGAGTATAAATTAAGATTAATAATAAAATAAACATTTAATTACCTTCATGATCTTTTGCGACTCTGTTAATATCTAAAGTTAAAGGATTAAGGAAAACTAGAAAAAAATGTTTTGCCTCTCTCTCTCAACCACAATCCTTGCTGTGTACAGAAAATGAGAAAAGCAGATATTACTTTCAACGAAGAATCCATCATCTAAGCAAGGGAAATAATAGCATATAAAAACACAAATGTTATCTTCCAACATATACAATTCAGTAGAGTCATTCATTAAAGTAAATGTATTCTAATACTAGTCAATTTACCTGTTCTTAGATGAATCCTGATCTTGTAAAAATGTCAAATTATTATTGAAAGGATACAGCACAGAGCTTTGGCCAGTGACCCAGCCAACAGAGTATCTGTGGAATTTCCCGTCACATCCGCTGTAATCACATAAGACACATTGTAACAATGCACAGTGTCATTAAACACTTGAACCAACAACGCATTATCGTAAATTCAACAACCAAACTTTTTTATATTAGTATTTTGAGAAAGCTACTGTATATATATATATATATATATATATATATTGAAAGGTCAAGATACCCTACAACAACAGACCTGTACTTACTTTTTGCAATAACCTTCCTGATTTCTTCAGCAATAAAGTTATTAGCGACTGACAGGAGTTCATATTTCCATCCCCACTGGAGGAAGCATCCTCCTCACAGCTGTCGCCCGCTCCCCAGCTCTTACCGGGATATAGGAAGTGACTGAAATAAAGGGAAGTTGGATAAATGAGGCACAGGTTTATTTATGTCTTCATTGTTTATTTTGTGGTCTGAAAATGAGAACATTTACGACAATAGTCTATATTCCTAAGGGCCATGAGATAAAAATGAACAAACGTTTTTTTAATGTAAACAATTTCAATTCTTAAACTGAAAAGTCACTTACAGCTCCCAAATAAAGGTAGTAGAGTAACATATAATAAAAATACAACACATCCAACCCCACCCCCTTCAGTAAATGCACTTTTATTAATTATATATTGATTTTCACCACTGTTAGCTGCTCTATAATTACTTAGACCTGAAAGGGTTTGGATTACCAGAAACTAATTTACTTTCAGGATTATTGTGGTTCTGAATTGTTGTCCTTGTGAATGATTGGACTTATTGTAAGTGTATTTGGATAACACCTTCAGCTGAATGAAAGGAATAAAATAAAAGAAGACCATAATAAAGTTACCTGTCCTGACAGTGGCTGGCGATGACAGCCAGCTTGTTGGTCCTGGACATGGCCATGTGGGAGTTCCCCAGCACCATGACTGCATCCAGACACTTGGACAGGGTGAGCTACACGGAGACAGGAGGACAGTACGTGTTCTTTAGACATGTAATAACTACAAACTGAAAACCATTTATAAAAAGGTCAGAGAAATATCTGACTATACTACCTCTGTCTCGCGTTGAGCTTGCTGCCCCCACCATATCGGATTTACATCCACGACGATGACCAGCAGATTAATATCATCTTATAAAGAAATGTTGGAAAATTCAAGATAAACCTGTATGTAGCCTACAGGAAAAGCTAACTGTATGAGATAATCATCAGGACCACCTACCTGATGCCATGTTGGGATTTATCTTTCAATGAAGAGAAACAATAAGTGATTATTGTTGTTCTCCTGGTGCTTTATCTCTTGTTACATTCCATTTTTGCTCTGAAAATACAAAACACATATTCAACGTTTTTTTTTAAAGTCTGGATATCCCTACTATGATATAAAAACCCTGACATTTGTAAAGTACAGCCCTTTTCATTCACTGTTGATGTTACCCACCGTATTAGCCACATTAGCCGACCATGTTCTTCTTCTACTGTTCATATTGGTACCACACGGTGCATTGCTGACACCTAGCGTTAGTTTACGTAATGCCTCCTACACACACGGGGGGTGTTTCTCAATCGCGAGTAAAGCTGCTTCAGAGCCACTATTTCAAGCATACTACGTCATCGAGTGCCGCCGAAGTACTGTTCCAATCTCCAGCATACTTGGAAATCTACCGAGCCCGGCGTACTCCGTTTGGAGAAATATCGAGGCTGCACATGAGTAGACTCCGCGGTCTTAAAATCCCCACAATGCTTTGCGCACGGACCAATTTCCCCAAATCTGTGGCGGAAGATGTAAGGCGGGGCCTCTCATATGACACACACCTGCACACTTGCTAGCGTGTTCCACACTTCGTTTTCTGAATGCCAGGAAGTATTCTTGACTCGCTTCTGAAGCAAGATGCTCGGCAGACATGTGCTACCAAGCAAGCGTACTCGCGATTGAGAAACACCCACACAGTGTACACACACACACTACTAAACGTGTACTGATAATTTATGTAATGATATAACAATGGAAAAAAAACTCAATTAAAAATAGTAGACAAGTATATGTTGGCTTCTGTAAGTATCGAAAGCAAATTAGGTGTTAAGCAGAGAACACGTTTTTTTATTACATAATTGTACTGTTTATTAATACAATTGGTGGAAGTAGTATTGTACTGTTGTAGTTGGTTGATGGTCATCCCTATGTTCCAAGGGTCCTATGTTCTGATGTAAACATTGGAAGTGTTGGTAAGGGCTATCCTTGCAGTTCAAAATGCAAAAATACAAAGGGACCATGTTTCAAATGCAGTTTAGTATACTGTAAATCCATTCAGCCAATGTGAAGTTCAATTCTAAAGTCAAGGCAATTGTTTAGATAGCAGATTTGAGGGTAAGAGTTTCCTAGACCTAGAGTATAACATCAGAAAGCTTTAAGATACAGTATATGTGTGATATTTCAACATATTAACCCAGGGAGACATTCAATTAAAAAAATGTTTGAAGGTCTACTTTATGTCTCATTAAAAGGACATTGAGCTGTGAATTAGGATCCTGGAAACATACAGTACATCCTCTTGGTTGATTTCTTTGTACACTCTGTACTGTTGGGTAATCAAATTGCAAAAATCCAGTGATAGAGTAAACTAGAGTTATTTCCAAATAATTCCCTGAGTGTCTGGTTATTTTTAGGGCTTTGGTTTTGTCTGGGCCTGAATTGAGCCAGTCCTGTATCTCTCAGTCTGGTAGACATCTGACTCGATGGCCTCGCTGCAGTCGTTCAGTGTTACATATACACTCCCTTTGACCTCAGTGACCTTGTGAATCCTCTGTTTGACACCCTTGGAGCGCCAGTGTGTCCTCAGGGGTTTGACTGTAGGGTCATCCACGGCTTGGTAAAGCCCTTCCCCTTCTGCTAGTGTGATCTTGTACTTATGCCACGGACACACAATACATAGCCGCCCATTAAACTCCTGATGTTGGCACAGCATGAAGGTGATAAGAGACATAAGAAAGACACTATTAGCGGCAGTTTTGAAAAAAAAGGCAATGTTTTTTAGAGAATATGTAAACTTACCTCAATGTCTCCATGCTGTAATGGACCACCTGCATCTGTAAGTGGAACATTTGTGTCATCATCAGTAGTGTTTCACAAATGTGATGAGCCATTGCATTCATTTTAAAACACTTAAAATAAACATTAAAATAATGAATGTCAACATCTTTCTAAATGTTTCAACAGGAAATACCTAAAGATTATGACAGGATCTTACAATTATAGCTTTATGCATAACATTTCCATACATTTTTCAGCCCTCAGTAGTATGGGAGATTTCAGTGTTTGCTTTATGCATAACATCAACACAAACACAGACAGAGCTTACGGTAGCAGCGCATGTCCATTGCATGAAGCGTCCCTTGGTGGTACAGGACCAGTATTTCCCTGCATCCATTCACAGTCTTGATCAGGCGCCCTGCCTTGACAATGTCCTCCTTACTGCCGATGAGATGTGAAGCAGGGGCAGGTGAGGAGGATGGAGGGGGAGAGGAAGAAGGAGTGTCCTCCTCAGAAGACATTTCTTGATCACTTCTTACATCAGTTTTCCTGATAAAAATAAGAATATAGTTAGTTAGACAGATATTTGATATATGATATGTTTGAAGGGACAACACATTTTTTAAAGATGTTTTTCTTTGCACAGGGAATTTTAGACAATTAAGATTAGCCTATTTTGGGAACATGTAATGGTCTGCTCAACTATTCCTGTAACATGCAATATGTCTATTCCTCCCCAGTCAAAAATGTTCACCTGTTCTTTTACTTTTTCAAGGTGCTAACATTATTTGGCATGGATTTCTGCAGAAAAAAACTATTAAAAAAACATTAAATCTGCCTACTTCATATGTTGAGGGTTCACATCTCTGACACTTCCCAGGTCTCTAGTAAGCGGCTTTGGTCGTCATCTTTCTGAATGGGTCTGATAACCTGGCAACTAGTTTCTGGTTCAATTGTATTCAAGTCCTGGGCCGGATATGAGAAACTTAACTTCGCAAAAAGTACACACAAGAATATTCTCATGTTGCTAAATATGTATTAAACAGGCTCTGTTCATTTTAGCGTTTAAAGTTATCTACGGGTCCTGTCTGATAAGTTTGAATTGAGCAGAGACGGTTTGAGGAAGTGCCAATGTTGTGTGTTACGTCCAATGTTGTCCCTAGTGAAACACGGGTTGATGACATTGATTCCTTGGCTTCCTTCACGTCCATGGTTTAACTAAGCATACAACACAAGTATGCACTCATGTGTTCCCTGCATGGATGTGTACAAAAATAAAGGTTAAGTTATATAACATAGCCTTCTAATATCATGTATAAACGATAGTTGCAGAGACGTATGAGGACCTATGAGTGTATATAAATACAATTATAATAAGAAGAAAAACGAATAAACATCTCTGTTAGTATTAGATACATATAAATGTATACTTTTTTGTGTTTATTAATCAATCTATGCATTTATCAATTTGTTTTGTTGTTTTATCATTAATAATAAACCATAAAAACACATTTACATCCATTGTTCAGCCCTCAATACTATACGTCGTACAGTCATTAGGGCACATGTCCTAATAGTTTAGTCTAAGAAGGCTTTTGTCCTAGCAGGTTTGTTGGTGGGTATTAAGCCCTCCGAGGGATTATCTCTCTTTCATGCTGAACTGAGCGTAATTTGACCGGCTGTCCTTCTGAATTCTGCATTTAAATAAGATATGATATGGTATCCTTATTTCTGCCACCTGCCACCTCAGGAGTTGTGTTCACGGACAACAGGAACTAAAATCCCCCTCCCAAAACCGTTTTTGTCGCTATGGAGACCTACTCTGTGTACGGAAATAGTGATACTCCTCAAGCAAGCAACTTTTTAAACATTAATGCATTTTGTCAGTTCAGAATGTTCCATCAGATAAAACGTCATGCTCACTCATTTGCCTTTTCAGGTAAGTATTCTATTTACTTTTGCCATTTGATGTTACAGTTTACAGCTTTTCACTCAGTCATTCAATTATTTGGGAAGCACAAGCACCCAATGATAATAATGCATTGTCCAATGTTTGATGTGTATTATAATGTGACAATGATTTTAAACTGGAACAACGTTTACCTTTTTTTTTAATTGAGGGTTTGTTTAATAGATAGGAGTTAATAATCCTCTTCCACTTTACTTTGTGCAATATGGCTAAGGGCTAAACCAGCCGTAATGTAAACTGCTCTGCTGGTTGTCTTTGTGTAATTTAATTAGCAGAATTACCAGTTGCTGACTCTCAAATTCCACCACGTGTTCAATGTAGGGACTGTGACCCCACCTTATGGAAATATGGAGCTCTAGGAGGGGGATGATTCGAAGAGGTGTACTGTTTCATGAACACAGTAATGAACGGCACTCTCACCTTAATGCATTTGAGTCATATGGCAGGAATATTGCAGCTGCCAGCCAATCTACTGTAGAAGTCAAAGAAGCAACAGTTGCATTCTTATGTCTGCTATATTTATCATATTTGCTACGGTACAGACATGTGTCTGCCCTGGTTCATTGCTGACCAAGTGTCACATTTCAGCATCATACCAGTGTCGTGTGCTTTGCTTGACACCACAACTCTGCAGTGTGGTAGTATGACAAAGTGACCAGCCAGACCATTGGCAATCGGTCTCTGACAGGAATCACTGAGGGAGAGAAACAGCAAGGGTTTACTGTGTTGGAAAATAGCAGTGTGGAGCTTGTGTGGGGGGGGGGGTTTAGTGTGTAGTTGTTTGGAGTTTTTTTTGTATATTCAGCCTGTGTCATAGAATTTGTCTAGCTGTAAAGTCCTTTCTTTCTTGCCTTTGCCTTGTGTGGCCAACTGATGGAGAAACTAAAGCGATATGTCTACCGCCCCCAGGGTAAATGGAGGGAAGAAAAAGAGAAAGAAAAGAAAGGGGAGGAAATGTCACTTTCCCTGTATGAGTGTCTGAGGGCCGTTGGGCTTCAGCGTCACTATGCTAGGTAAGCTCACTCACATCACTTCCAAACTAACACTTGCCCTGCCCCCTCCTCATCTGACCATATGTCTCCCTCTGTTTCCTCTCCTTCAGGTTTACTTCTGTGGGTATTTGTCGTGCAGCCCACCTCTCAGCGCTGACCATGGAGGACTATCCAATCCTTGGGATCTGCTGTATGGAGGACAGGACTCGACTCTTCAATCTGGTCCAAATGGTCAAAGCTCTTGACCTAGAATATGAAAATACTAGTGAAGATTATGGTGCTGACAGTGGTGATGAAGGCTACATTGCAGCAGATAGTAGCTTTTCTTATGTTGGTGGTGAAGATGAAGAGTATGTTTACAATGATGAGAATGAGAGGGGTGCTGCTGAAAGTAAGCTTAATGCAACGCGTTTTACAAAACCCTCATCCGTTCGCAGACGGCTTGATTTTAATTGTGAAACCATCGATCACAATCTGAATCTTTTTGTTTATCCTGATGCCTCTGTATATGTAATGAATAGTGAGGCAGGGCAGGGCAAAGGGTCGGCCCTATCTGTGCAGCTTGACTCTGCGGTATGTGGCTGCAAAGGGAAGAACAACCACAGGCTGGATTCTCATAGGCATCAATCTGGTCGTCACACAGGAGCAAACACTGAGCCAAAGATTATGGAAGGAAAATCCATGTTCAATTTTCACACCAGATTATCACCAAAGTGTGAATCATCCATCAAACCAAAACCCCAGCCTGAAACAGTGGCATCAAAGTTGTTTACCAACAAACTATTTGGGCATAAAGATAGAAAGGGACTTTTAAGGAAGAAGAAACCCTTTACAGAAATTAGCAGTAATGCGGCTTCTGAACACACGCCTAAACCAACGCCTGTTTATGAACTAATGAGAACAGCTGGCTACAACTATGGACTACCACTGAGTTCCCCTCCTGCTCCAAACAAAACGTGAGTGGCAGTGGTTTGTGTTGTTTTCGTATTTAGTCCATATTTACAATTAAGTATCTTAGTGCAGTAACAGTACTAGATACATGTATTGAATATGAAATACATTTAGATAGTAATATCAAGTATCTAAATGGCTACAACATTTACATCTAGGCAATGATAATCATGATTTTCTTTGCACATGATAATCATGATTTGGTTTGTCTGTGATTGGTGTGTGTTGCAGACGACCAGGGGCGCAGCGGATCAGTGTGTGTGTGAGGAAAAGACCTCTGACACGCACAGAGTGCAGGAGAGGAGAGACAGATGTTTTGACAACTCCAAGTGAAGAGTGTGTTATTGTTCATGAAAGCAAAGAGGCTGTGGATCTCACACAGTACATACTAAAGGTAGATATAAAGTCAAGATATGAGGCAATGTCTGAAACATCATGTAGGAAGAACTTAAGACAGCATTTTCTTCAAATAAACACTTTATCATTAAACTGTGATGATGTGAAATAAAGCAGGGTGGATTTTCACTTTAAGATCTACTTCTCAAATCATTGTGCTGTTCTTCCCCCTTGTTCTTTTGTCCCTGCAGCACAGGTTCTACTTTGACCAGGTGTTTGGGGAGGAGAGTTCCAATGAGGAGGTGTATCAAAGAACAGCATATCCTCTGGTGCAGCACATGCTCAATGGGTAGGTTAGCAATCATGTAGTGGCATTTATGGAGTTGTGTGTGTGTTGTCAGCCTTACCTGCCTTTCTAATGAAGCACCTGCTTGTACATGGTTTTGGCCTAATGTTTCTACCAACCTGTGCTCCCTAACTATCTTTATTTGTGTTGTGTTGTATTTGTGTGTCCATAGAGGCAAAGCCACCTGCTTTGCATATGGCCAGACAGGTGCAGGGAAGACTCACACCATGCTTGGTTCCCCTGTGAGACCAGGGTTGTATGCTCTGGCAGTCCGGGACATTTTTGCTCACCTCTCCACCACACACATGAACTCACCCTTGCTGGTGTATGTCAGTTTCTTTGAAATCTACTGTGGTCAGCTGTATGACTTGTTGGACCACAGAAAGAGGTGCGTGTTTGTATCAGTAAGCGTGTGTATGTGTCTTGTTGTGAATACAATTGGTTAAACGTTTTATAGGTGGAGTTGCTATCAAAAAAAGTAGCAATTGGTATAAAGAACAGATGAATAATACCCCATTTGTTCCATAGGCATGATTATTTTTTTTGGTAATCCACCATCAAAATGAACCTCTTTAAGCTTGATTTTTCTTCTTTCTTGAGTTATTCCCCCTCTTAATCTCGTTTTTTTCTTTCTTTATTAGATTGTTTGCCAGAGAAGATGGATTTAAGGTGGTTCACATTGTTGGGCTGCGTGACGTCAGAGTGGACTCAGTCAGCTCACTGATGGAGGTTCACCCTTTTTTTTCTGCTGTCCATGCTGTGTA